AGTCAGCATTTTATACTAAGTGTAAACAACCATTCATTTCTAACCTCTTGTCTTAGAAGAAGGCCACATATGATCGGGATTCTGCCCTTGCTCCTAACTCCTCTTAACCTTACATCAGTACTCATAAACATAAACTGCCATCTGGGGCCATTTGTAGTGGCCACATCAATACTCTTGAACATTAACTGTCCCTCTGACCACATGTGGTTACTACATCACTCTTGAACATAAACAGTCCATGAGACCAGATGGGGTGGCCACATCAGTACTCTTGAACATAAAATGTCCCTGGGGCCACATCAGTACTCTTGAACATAAACTTTGCGGGGAAATCTACCGGAGATTGATTTGATTATTAATTCAAGAGATTATGTTTAATTGTATTTAATACTAAAGAGCGGACTGTATATTACCGGTAAATTACCCATCACACAATTTGGGGGTTTCATATTTTTGTCTTATCATATTTAAACGGTTGATTTAATTGTTAATTGGTTATTGTTGTACCATTACGTGTTAGTATAATTTAAATTGGCCTCAGTTGTTTGTAGTGTGAAAGGTAATCCTCCAGCATCAGACTCGGTCCGCCACATGTGGTCCGTACTGGATGTGTATTAATGGTGGTCGTGGGTAGTGGGGCGGCACAGCTCAACTGGTGGTGTGCTCACAATGTACCTGGGGAAACGTTACAACATAACATGTAGCAAGAACAGATATTCCTCAGTTTGTAGCACCTAAAAGTAAATTATTTCGGGACTCCTATCCTTGTGGATGATGTTGTCAGGTAGCATAACGATTTAATCCTTGATACATAATAATGAATTATTAAATTAAAAATAAAGCATTATTAGAAAAAAACGACTGCAATTCCCTTGTTCTGCAAGTTTCGGCAACAAATGGTAACTATGTTCAGTCACTTTGCTTTCTGGGACTTGCTGGTAGAGTTTGTGGTCAGTGTGGTAGGCTCGGTTTGTCGGCTTAACAACCACTTGACGTGTCAACTCTCCCATATGTTCAGTGCATTTAACTACAAAGGCTCCCTCCTCCTTTCCCTCTGTTTATGTCTAGTTGTATTTACACATTCGTACATTGAAACACTGATTGTAACCGGGATATATAGATGTGCTTCCGCCTACAGTTCAGCCCTATTGTCTTGTGTATGGTCCTCTATTCTGCATAATAGTGAATACCAGCATTATCCTTACTCTAATAAAGCTAAATTGAATTCCTCAGATTAGGCAAAATTGTAATTAAATTTTGTTAGTAAAGATGTCAATAAATAATAGAAGTAAAATGGTTCTCTTTTGAATTTAGGGAGGTGTGGTTTTGATGTCAAATCTATATTGACCATATTTTTAATTTATTACATTCATTTATTTTTATGGTTTCAGTCCTGAGACTGATGTGTTTAATGTAACATGTTCTGAGACAGGAGGATTTTATATTACACTATCTGTACCCGGCAAAGCGTAGATGTGGCTCAGCATCCTCCAACTGTCAACCCGTCCTCCCAACTTTTTCCCCCGACCCCATCCCCTCGTCCCTCAAATTATTCCCCACTTCCCCTTACGCTCATCATCCTCACAATTGCCACCCTCCCTCGTCCCCTAGCCTTCCTGCCATCCCCAACAACCTCGTCTCCTAGTCCTCCCCACCAATCCCTACTAGCCCATCCCCCCATCCCCCCTCGTCCTCCCCACCATCCCCCACTCCTGTCCTCTCGTCCTCCTCACCATTCCCCCACACCCTCGTCCGTTGTGGTTCCCAAATTATCTGTTATTCCCATTAGAAAAATGGGAACATCAAATGATCTGATAACCCATCACTGAAAAACAAGAATAACAGTTAAAAAATACGAAATGAAAAACAATTAAAAAATACAAGAATAAACTATACTCACGAAATAAACGGTATGGTAAACAACAGAGCTATATTCCAACGCAATGCCACACAAAATAATAATAACAAAAATATATATATATATCTATGAAAATTCAATTTATCATTGCAATCAGAAACATTGAAAAGTAATTGTAACATATTAGTATTGCATGTGTTGCTTTAATGTGCAACAGATGGCGCTGTTTTTCAAAAGAAAGCATGTTTTTACTTGTCACAGGTGTGCCATCTATATAGTAGGTAAAGACACTAATCGTGGCCCAAGTACTGGGTGACACTAAACTTGTCGCTGGTACTGGGTGACACTAAGCTTGGCGCTAGTACTGGGAGACACCAAGCTTGTCGCTGGTACTTTGTGATACTTAGCTTGTCGCTAGTACTTGGTGACACTGAGCTTGTCGCAGTTACTGGGTGAAACTAAGGTTTGTCGCTGGTATTGGGTGATAGTAAGCTTGTCGCTGGTACTGGTTGACACTAAGCTTGTAGCTGGTACTAGGTGACACTTAGCTTGTCGCTGGTACTGGGTGACAATAAGCTTGTCGCTGGTACTGGGTGACACTAACCTTGTCTCTGGTACTGGGTGACACTAAGCTAGTCGCTGGTACTGGGTGACACTAAGCTTGTCACTGGTACTGGGTGACACTAAACTTGGAGCTGGTACTGGGTGACACTAAGCTTGGCGCTAGTACCGGGTGACATGAAGCTTGTCGCTGGTACTGGGTGATACTTAGCTTGTCGCTAGTACTGGGTGACAGTAAGCTTGTCGCTGGTACTGGGTGACACTAAGCCTGGCATTGGTACTGGGTGACACTAAGCTTAGCGCAGGTACTGGGTGACACTAAACTTGGCGCTGGTACTGGGTGACACTAATCTTGGCGCTGGTACTGGGTGACACAATGCTTGTCGTTGGTGCTGGGTGACACCAAGTTTAGCGCAGGTAAAGGGTGACACTAAGCTAATTGCTGGTACTGGGTGACACT